AAAAAAAAAAAAAAAAAAAATATCAAAGTCAAATTCAATATTTCATATTTTGTTTGTGTGTATGGGTACAATATATATCGTTTCTTTTTCCTCTTCTTTCTTTATGAACGGGTTATTATATTTAAATAAAAAAAATGCAATGGTTGTATGTATGTTGCATTCACCAAATGATGATGATAATGATGTTGGTGATGATATCATCATCACCAGATCTATTGAAATATGATATATTTTTTTTTCTCGGTTCATGTTTTTCATGTTTTTTTTTGTGTGTTTAATGCTGTATTTTACAATACGAATCCCTGCAAACATACATCAAAGTTTCAAAACAGAAAATTTTGGTTAATGCTTGGATGAAAAAAAAACAAGGGGAAGATGTTACAGCCAAAGCCAGAAACAAAAATAAAACATTTACATAAAAAGAAGGGAAAAAATAATAATAATATTTTTGCTTCGTTGATAATTTATTTGAAAAATTTCACTGAAAAACCGAAAAAAATTCAATGTTTGGGAAAATTCAAAATTTGTTGTTGTTGTTGTTGTTGTTAAAAGCCTGATTTAAAATTAATTGAAAAATTCATAATGAACAAAACAAAATGACGAATTTGCTGATTTCATCAAATGCATCAAACTTTATGGTAAATGCGTTAATGTATTTTGTATTTTTTTTGAAAAAAAATTATAATAAAATTTTTACCTTTTAATGTTCCTCTTGATAATGTTGATAATGCTTTTATAAATTGCTAAAAATGTGAAATTTTCATAGAGAAAAAAAATTGTCAATATTTTTTTTCGTTTGCAGTGAATTTCAAATGATAAAAACATACACCAAAATCAAGGCAACCATATTGTGGATCACACATTGGTCGTAATGTATTGAATACAAAATGTGCATATTTTGTTGCGTCTTGTGTTTTTAAAAGAAAAAAAAAACAAAGCAAAAACAAATTGATCATAATGGTTATACACAGAAAAATCAATCAATCAAAAATTTACCTCCTTGTGGAAAATATTTTGAAAAAATATTAACAAATTCTTCTTCCGAACAATAACCATTTGGACATTCTTGTTTAAATCCTTGATATATTAGTTTTAGTTCTGTCGAAAAAAGCAAAAAAAATTGAAAAATTGATGAATTTCAAAAAATGAATTTTGAGAAAAATTTTCAAAAAAAAAAATAAACTTGGGAATATTTTCGGGAAAGAAGAAAAGAAAGAAAAAATGTCATTTTCCTATTGATAATCTCTATGGATATGGGAATATTTCTAGCAAAAGAAAAAAAAAGCAGCCATATGAATAATTAAGTGTTTTTTTTCATTGACAAACTTCTTT